ATTCCGTCACCTTATTATAATGATACAAAACTTAAACATTAAAATTACAAAACACAGAAAAAAATTTTTACATAAAGAAAAAGAAAAATATTACAGAAAAGAAGATTAAAGAAAAGAGTTATAATTATCTGTGAGTTCCATAAGATTCTAATAGATAGCGGTGTAAGGTGAATTTATGGGCTGGATTAAATAAGTATCGAATAGATGACGCAGACGAAGTTGCGTGGACAAGCTAATAATACTTATAAAATATGAAAAAAAAACGTTAAAAATATAGGGCTATAAAGTATGTATGATAACGCCATCTATTGACAATTTGTTTAATTAAATGATAGCAAAGTAGACTGCTCTAAACAATAAGTTATCTTTCATTAATGAACACATTTATACATTGTTATATTACTGACATATGACTACGGTAATTTTCGAAATTTTCGCACGGGTCAACTATTAATTACACAATAGTTGCAAATTATGAATGATTAAAAATAGTAACAACCAAATAACAACTTGAGTACACCAGGGATTAAACGAAGATAGCTTAGAAATTAATAATCGAAACACGTCTAGGGGTCCATTAGCAGGATACCTATGCGAGATAAACGGCCATTAGTTAATCCAAGGGTGACCCTGCAATAACTCACTTTGGCAATATTGCTCATAGTACCGCTTTAATTAAATGGAATTTGCATATAGCAGAGATTTATGATGGACGAATAATAAAAGCCTTTTCCATAAACAGCCAAAAGTATGTACATAATAAAAACGATGAATAATTTTCATCCAATTAGTTAATGTTATGGGTACTGTCTACGATTACACATATGATTTAATTAATGATTGAATGATTATAATCTATTCTCTAATGCTTGAGTGTTTTTCATTAAAAAAAATTGAATATCACACGCGTTAAATTGTTGTCGCCCTATTAAAGTACAACTCAGTATCTGTCTACTGCATTTTACATCAACATAGTTTAACCCTTTTATTATATAGTTTTGTTGTTTCTTTGAGTGAATCTAAATACAAGAAATCTACGGAATTATGTATTAAAAATACTTAAAATATTTTGTAATTCATGTTTGATTTTAAAATGTATGTTTTGAGCTTGACAAACGAAGGAACATCCCGAAAAATGAAAAGGCTTACGTCTTTAAATCTCAACAACAGTCATCCAGCGCGCCTTACAAATTAGAGCTCATTCCGAGGGGTTCCTCATTAGTCTTATTCAATTTAGTTACGACGGACTTTCGAGATATAAATAAATCGGATCCCTGTAATTTGACGCTTTGGATACCCGTAACCTTTTCAGCCATGTTTATGTGCTTGAAGGCAATATATGTATGCCTTCGTGATTACATAGAACGCTTTTTGTTCAACACATCCAGTGCTGTCTCCAAATTTACTGGACCTTGACATGATTTTTGTCCACCTGACAAAGTTGCGTAAAAGTACGTAAAATTGAAACTCCTGCAACATTTTTATGGGTTTAAATAGCTGATGAGCAGGTGGTTCACCTGACGTTTAGTGATTACCGGGTATGTATAGCCTCGAGCCGAGAGGTTGTAGAAGCGTTGAATACAAATTTTAGTTACAGACAAAAGCACAAGTATAAATTCTTCCAATTTATGGCCAGTCTTCCGTGATGTTGTGGTACCTTCCGGACGAGCCTGCCACGTCCTACATCGGAAGCTACTGCATGGATACACCACAGTATAAAATATTCTAATGCGCGCTCAATGAACCAAACTATTTAATGAAACATATTTATAAGCCAATAAACGAGTAAACGAGTAAAAAAGCTGTCCTCTTTTAAAAATCATACACTTTTAATAGCTATATACCACACTCAACAGACGAAACGCAAAAGTATAATAATACCTCCACTTCACGCTGGTCTTCTGTGAGAACGTGGTGTTCTTTCCCTACGAGCCTACCCACTCAGCTGATGTTACTGCATGGCCCTACCATAGTAAATTCTCATCTTAGTCACAGAATGCTTGCTTCTGAAAAATCGATGTGTTACGTTTAGTAGCTCGTGATTCTCTCCTCGCGCATAAATATTTGTAATTGCGAAATATTTAGCGACATATTTTGAGCGGCTAACAAATCCGCGAGATTCCTGAAACTGGTGGAGACGTTAAAGCATCCGTTCAAATATTTAATTGGGCTATTATGCTATTGTTCTATCTACCCCTCCTAAATCATGAGGGTATAATTCATAGCGCATCCCCTTGAGCTTAGTGTGAGATTCTCCTTTCATTCAGAATTTAATTTCATTTTCACCCTCTCTCGTCAGAGCCTTTAAGAAAAGATTGACCGAATGCCTTATCCGCCACGCAATCGTAAAGATGTAATAATTAAACTGATAGGTGTCGTAGGTATAAGGTCTCAACGAATGCATAAACACACTAATCCATTTGCAGATTATCCTTAAAGGGTTTTTGGCTTTTGATAATAATTTTCTTCTCTTTGAAAGAAGTCTTTTGATAATGATTGAATCTTTGACTCTCCGAAACTGAATTTTTACGAGTTTACAAAATTAGGTTCAGTCAGGTTCGTTCCTTAAACCTGTAAATTGTGTAGATTTGGAGTCACCACGGGTGACAAATAATACGACTAAACGCTAAAAACAAATAACAAAGATGAAGATAGTAAAATTCAATTACAGGAATCAATTCGAATAATTCCTCAGAAAAGAGCCAATTTAGGTAAAATAGAAATGGTAAGAAACAAAGGGTATACCATTATATAGAGGGTATTAATAGATAGTATAAATAAGAGAGATTTAATAATTTATTATATTCGCGACAACTACACACTAATAGATAATACAACCCTTACAAATTTTATCGCGTAGCAATAAATGCCGTTACTCAGTCTGTGATTATAAATGCTACAAAGTATTACAAACGTAAAAGGTAAATCTAAACTCTTTATCGCGTTTAAGATAAAAGTCATAAAATGTCTTCTTTTAATAACAAAGGTTTAACTTCAAATATATTACGATATTACAAAGTAACTTACCTATACAAAAGCTTGGAAACTGTTTGCAAACTGAATTTAAAGCAATTGAATTACTTTCGTCGCACTTTGCAAAATGTCAAATCGAGACTTGATGAAACTTGCGAAAACTAACGAGGGAGCTAGTTCATTATAATCTTCAAACACTGCGGTGAGACAAATTGTGTAGTCTGCGTAACTAATTCTTAAGTAACAAAGTTAGGTTAAACTTACCTTTTTGTTCGTTACATTCAGGACAAATGAGCTCGTTTCTAAACAGTGTGGTAAGGGTAGAAATCTATTAATTGATTTTATTAATCAAAATATTATATTGAAAACGACTTTTATTTGTTGTGATAAAAGAACAGTTAAAACGCAATCGATAGATTGTTAGAATGCAGTAGTGAAGTAGTTATTAAGAACTAATTTATTCCGATCGATAAAGTGAACAAACTGCTGCATACGATTTCAGTAATCAGGAAGAAACAAATATTGTTTTACGTTAAAATCTACTATTCTTACCACCAAAAAATATTGTTAAGAATAACTTCAGATCCCACTCAAGTTAATGTTCAAGTAAATGTTGATTAAATAGTTTTCAAAATTGCAAAACATAATATTGTTATTTAGTTTTCCTTTTTCTTGGTTAAACCAAATTTCTTATTACACAGCAAGGTAAACCAATTACGTTATTATCAATGGAGCGGCCTTAATTCTTCCTCCTTCGTCCGATTGCCACGCGACGAAGTTCCCAATCTGTGCACGGCATTAATCCGATCGAAGGCACAATAAGGCGAAATTGCTTAGAGCCAACATCGCACGTTATTGCCACTAAATCTTTCAGTCGTCGGATGCCTATGTACATTCAGAATACACCCCGCGGCTGTTGCCTTAGGCCTTTAGTTGTTACTTTCACCAATTGATTTCTTGCCGCCCTCTAGGTGTTCGGGATCCTTTCGGGAACAAATATTTATTTTATTCGGATACCTTAGCGGTTTTATTGCGTTTCTAACAACGTAAACGCTGGTAATGATGTTACTGGTAACGTTTTTGCTTTTATTTAACGCTAAAAAGCTTTGCGAATTGAACACGAATTCCTTTACGGACATGTTCTACCCATACAGCATCTCTGTATGGGTAGAACATGACCACGATACGATTTTTTCTATTATTATCCTTTTATTGATTTGGAAAAACTATGTGTTTCTTTTGCTGAATCCCAATCGAGAGCTATACTCAACATTTACTAATTAGGATTATTCACATTAGCATTCTAACATGCTTTCGATTAGTCATCTAATGAGTTTAGACTAGCGAAATAAAAGCTTAAATAGCGAAATGTAAATAAAAACTTTCCTAATGTACCTCAATTAACACATCACATACGCAGGATGTATTTTTATTGAAAAACGGATATGTACTATTCATTTGTGTAAAGCTGGAGAAATTTTTTTTCCAGGAATCATGATATCACGTAACAATAAGCTACCACTCTAGGGAGGGACTTTCAAGTCTCGGGTAAAGCAAGTAACTCATAATTATATCTGATGCTCCGTTGAAATGAGCACAAAACGAATGGAAGAGAAAAATCAACGTGCCGAATGCGCAATGTTTATTCTTGTTCTTTCAATGCCGTCGCGGCTCAGGTGGCGTTCGTAAGGGCAGGGCAAAAATGAATTCGCCACGCGCACATTCCAATCACGTACTTCTAAATTTGTCATATTGGATTTAGCGAGCGCCGGTCGCTCGTCATCTCCCCGCCCTCCCCCGCCTGTCGCCTGGAGAAGACGGGAGCATGCATCAGTTCGCGTGTTACGTCCCGAATTCAACTTAAGCGAGCGAGTAATAAAAAATGTGTCAAGCGATTCTCTTCATGTGAAAAATGTGACCGAATGGTGGAGGCATATCAGCGTATGGAGCATAGATTATTAATTCTCATGAAATTAATAATTGAGAATGTTGCATGTGATCATTTTTTGTGTAAGATTTAGGGGCCCATGCAGAGACACGACGGCACCTGGAGGATACGAAAAAACCATGAGATAGAAGATATGGTGTCTGAGCCCAGTATTATGGGCAAGATTAAATCCGCGAGACTCCGCTGGCTTGAGCACCAGAAACGAATGCCGGCAGACATGGCGGTTGGGCCCAAATACTGCTGGAAGGTTGAAGTGGTTAAGGATCTTCGCGCCCTGAACGCTGAAAACTGGGAGGAGATCAAACAAGATAGTATATATCACTATTTGTAATCGGGAATAGGTTAAACAACAGAGCGTCTACACTTAATCAACATTTTTCTTTTCACCCTTGATCAACGTTTATTCTTTTTTTGTTACACAAATATTTTATACCAACCATCATATAAAAGTAAAAAAAAGTAAAGTAACAGCCTATACATGTCCCACTGCTGGGCAAAGGCCTCCTCTATACAGAGAGTATCAGTTCAACTTATAATTGAACAATTACACATACTTCACAAGCGCGTTGGCACCAACTCCTATCGTACACCAAAACCCACTTCTGGTCGCTGGGCCAGCGGAATAGTAGCGGAGTATTCTAATTTTGGTTAAAAAAATTACTTACACACGCGTTTCAGAAACTTTTACCGATATGAATGAATATATACTAGAAGATATCAATTTGCATGTACTATTGAATATCGATATCCACGATATCCACGCAATCGATTTATAACTATTACCGCTATAAAATTCAAAAATCAAAATCATTTATTCATCTACATAAGAAACTAACATTTCAATTCGACTGCAGCTCCTGTGTCTCAGACAGTGATTAATACTTAAATCTCATAGTGTTGACATACCATAAAATTCCTCACTAGGTGGCTAAAAGCTAAAGCTTAAAAAACGAAATCGTTGTATTTTCATTTGTTATGGGACTTATCAAAATAGCGAGGGGGCATTTTTAACTCAATCAAAGGAAATCAAAACGCGGAAAAATTGAGGGGCTCTAACGGAGGGTTAAATTCATATTATCGATTGGTTATTGTGAGTCGTGCTGACGGTAACATTCTTGAACCAATTTAAAGCTATAAAAGATGTGTTACTAAATGTGAAAGCCCTTATTTACTATAAATTTATAGAAGTCTATTTTACTTCGTTTATAACCTCAAAATGTATTTAATGCAACGACGAATGATTAGTACGTGATGAATTGAATTTTTAACAATAGACTAGCTTCCCATGTAACATATGACGTAATTGTGTTATAAATTACGACCAAAACCCAAATATTACGACGCCATTAAGAGAAGCCATTATATAAACGTATGACGCCATAAGAATTCCTCATAAAATACAGCGTTGCGCGCGTTCCGAAATCCCGATTGGGATTCTTACAAGATCAGCCATTATAATGGCGCTACGATCCCTATTGGCGATATTTTTTGTAGCGTCTTTATTGAAATTCTGAAGGCCCACAAGGAAGTTTCCGATCGCCCGGGCGGAATGCGAAATTGCTGGCATAAAACAAGTGACATTCCATCGACTACAGTTTTTTTCTTGTTAACCAGTGTTTGTTTTGACAGTTGTCTTATTAAAACGGGTGAATTTCGTGTGTAAAATACGTAACATAAATATAAAATGTATACGATCGATATAACAAAGGAGTACCCTTTACAAATCAATGATACGTATTTTGTCACTGCTGATGTTATAAACGTGTTTTGAATAATCTGTAAGCGATATGAATTACAAAAGGGATTTTTTTCTGCATCCTTGTTATTTTGATGGCATCATTAATGTCACCAATCAGTTTTCACTAACTCTAACCCTGGATTAAAGAGAGACTAGAGCCTTTGATTACACATTATATATACATTGAGCATATAATTATTACAAACAATTAAAATATGTACAAAAAGCACGAAAAGACTGTCGCCGCTGTGGGAATCGAACCCACGTCTTCGGCATCCGCGGCCTGACGCTTTAACCACTAAGCTAAACGGCTGATTGCCACACCGACGAAAATCTAACGTCTTTTATCTACATTGGTTTTTAGCATTTGAAGCAATGCTTGGCGCATCCATTGTTATACCCTTTCCAGCATACAAACAATTTCGAATATCGTATTAACTATTATACGAATCGCGAATATTACAAACAACTTATAGAAGAAAATTAATGTATCATCGTTTGAAAGCCTTTTTATTTGAGAAGGTGACAAGCAAGCTGGCGGTTCACCTGATGTTTAGTGAAAATCGCCGCCCATGGACGCACATTTGCACACCGGTAGTGTTTCTAATGCGTTGCCACCTTTTAATAAAGTGGGCACCTCACTCACCAGACGAAACGCAGAAATATAATAATTCCATTTGACGTCGGTATTCTCTGAGGTCGTGGTATTTCCTCGGACGGACCAAGAAAATTCTTGTGCAATCTTTAAAGATGCTCTATGGAAATGTGGTAACCCTAACAACATTATGTGGACATAAGTAGTCTACTATGTGTTCTTAGTTACTTTATTAGTAGATTCTTGGACACATTTCACGTCTTAACTTATAGTAAGATACTGAATAATGGTGAATAAACTTGAGTAACCCAGTATGCCGTGGGACCTCGCTTTTAACATTTTTGCACTCGAGCAAACTGAAATCCCGACGCCAATGTCATGCCATTGTTGATGTGAAATTAAATTTAATTAATTATATATTTTATTTCATAAAATTAATTGAACTAATGATTTCTGGGACTTAAACAAATACCCTAAAAATAATACAATTTTACAGAAAAGTCTAGTATAAAATAAACACGCTAACAACTGTAAAATACATTGATTTATATATTAATAAATTTGATGTGCTATATTGTTTTTGGAATTACATTTATATTAATTTAAAATCAAACATTGCGAAATTGGATTTATTTCAGATTGATTCAATCATTTCGTGTTATAAAGAAATCATAAATATTTGATAACTCACCATAACTTAATACAACGGAATAATCTCAACGAAGATAAAATATCTGAGATTTATTACAAAAATACCCAATAGGCAATGGATTGCTCGGCGAGCTATGCTAACGATCTTAAACCCTCTTGATTCGTAATACCTATTCCTACCAGTGATAAAGATGTTCTTTACTTGGCAATAGAAGAGAAAACTTCATAGCAATAAGTTAAAAAAAAGCTTTATTCAAACAGGTATTGATAATTCCAATAGAGGGGAATCCCTTTAAATTAAATATACTCGAGCAACGGGACTTCAAATCCCGGTGCTTGAACCTAAAAAAATGACAATTGCACTATAAAGAGGTCATTTATCACGTGCTCATCTGCGAAAGAAAATATTGTGAACCTGCATAATAAGAATATTACGAAAATATTTCGAAGATATTTCAAGTGTCCAATTCGCGTTGAGATAGCGTGGCGGGCTGTGCCGCTCTGTACAGAAGAGGCCTTTGCCCAACAGTGGGGCATAAAAAGGTTTACTTCAATATAAAAAAAATAAAATGCATGAACAAAAAATCTTATAATCTACTACGCAAAATGTACTTACTGATTTTTTTTTTAATTTTTTTTAAATTTTTTAAATATTATTGTTTATGTTTATTTGCAATACTTCAATAAGAAATCGTAAAAAAGCGTGTACTCAATCTAACAAAAAAGTTTTCATATGCCTCGCTCTCCGTGAAAAATGTTTGTAAAGGTGTTCTGTAGTGTCGCGCAAATGTTTTAAAATGGGCTTACCCGCGTCCTGAGTGAGTAGTAGAGAGTACATGTAAGCGTCCTTTATCCACAGTCTGACACGAGTGGATGCTAAGAGTGTAACTTGACGCCTTTGTCCATTTCGACTGTACGCTTGTGTTTACGATATTCAGCGTTATATCATAGTATGAGTTGAACAGATGGGAAATATGTAGTATTTTCAAAATATACGTAGAAATTCTTTATATTTAGTATCATATTGTTGATAATTTACTTTACAATCATTTCAATACACATGTTCTAAGGAGCACCTTGAAACATCAAAAGCTTTTGTTTACTAATTACTCTGTATAATTTTTTTTTAATATATGTATATTGACTTTAATATAGGTGGACATAAAACGGCTTGCTTGTAAAGCTTTTTATAGAATTTTCTGCTATCAACTTTCTATGTAATTAATTTAAATGAATAATAAAAAAAATACTGTAAAAAGTTATATATTGTTATTACATATTACACAGATAATCAATATAACTAATCTTTGTTGAGGAAATAAAAAAAAAATGATATCTCTATGACAATCTAATAAAGGGTTTTCAGGAATTACTTAAACATAATTGTGATCAAACAGTCAGTTTGAATTTCCAATTTGAATAGGTACTGTAAACAGAAATAACTTAAACATTCGGGTCTTGTAGAACTCTAGATTGGTTCCTCTTTTAATCAAATTTGTTTAATGTACTTGTTTAATTACAACTCCAATGAACACTTCTATTGTAGTTTTACGTCTCATTCTACTACATATATTAACTAGCGATCCGTCCCGGCTTCGCACGGGTACAATGTATTATACATATAAACCTTCCTTCAATCACTCTATCTAGTAAAATAAAAACCGCATCAAGATCCATTGCGTAGTTTTAAAGATCTAAGACAGGCAGACAGCGAGACGATTTTGTTTTATATATAGATAAGTTTTTTTCTATGTAATGAAAATTAAATGAAAGTCAAAGTATGTATAACCAATATGTGTATATAATTCTTCCTTCATTTTTATATAGATGTAGTTGTATTGAATAATGGGATTTCTTATAGCCAATAACATTTTCTATGTTGAAAAATATCACGCTTAGAATTTCCCAGACAATATGTGATTCTCAGACAGTATATGCACCATTACGGTCTTAGTCAAAGTCTATACAGTTTGCAGTAGCCGTTATATATACATCGTTAGTGAGTTTGTCTAAAATTTCTATTCTTATGTCGGACAAAGTTTTAGGTCCGCTGCTAAACGAACCATTGTGCGACGTGGCGCTATAGCAGTGTCACAATCGAGTCCGTCTTTAGATTAGAATGTTTGTCATATATTTCGCAAATTTACTTTAATACTAAAGCTGTTTCAGCATCGTACCCAGTAAAAAAAATTAGATCTCTTTGTGGAGAATACAAGGTACTGGGGAGTTATCGCAAATAGTCGTATTCTTTGTAGGATTAAGAATGTTTTGTAGTCGTAAAGAATTTACTCACTTATATATCCAATAACAGGATTATGCAAACATGGTTAACCAACCTAGAAAT